TGGATTGTGATGTTCACAAGTGTTTCAAAGGTTTTGTTGTTGTTGTTGTTTTGTTTTGTTCCACTCCATAGATGAGACAGGAAGACTTAAGGGGGCTGCTGTAGTTGGGTAATTTACCTTCTCCCATGTGGCATAAGGCTCTGGTAGGTTTTTCCCCTGCTGAGTGGGCCTCTGTTCTGGAGAACACTCCGGGAATATTTTCAAATGGTTACCTTTCTCTCCAACCCTACACTCCCCTGCCAGAAACATGAGCATTTTTTTTTTTTTGGTAGCTCTTTACTGTGAGAACCAGGTGGGGTTCCTGGTAAGAAAACCCATAAATAAGTGGGGGCCCTCCATTAGATTGTGACTCCAGGAGTTTCTCACTCTCATGCTAGCCCATATGCATCCTCCAGCAATTTGTCAAAGTGTCTCTTTAAGTGTTCCTACCAGGAGAGCAGTGCAGAGCCTCCAGTGGCTTCTGTTCCAGGTAAACTAATCTAAACTATGATTTTCTGCATTGACACTCTCTAAAGATTTGGGGTAGTGGTTTGCCACTATGGATCCAAGAAAAGTCATTGATTTTTAGTCTGTTCAGCTTTTTGCTTCTTTCACAGACTGAAGTGATGACTCCCAGGCTTTTTAAATGTTAGATCTGGAACCAGAAGTTGCCCTTCAGAGAATGATTTTTTATTTTCCTGTCCCTCTCCCCACATTTCTAAATGAGTTTGGTAGGGTCAGAGAACCACCTACAATGGGAAGTCTAAAGAAAGGATAGACATTCACTGCTCTAGGAAAAGAGATCTGGCAGGGCTTAAGGGTTAAGGAAAGACTAAGTATTCTACTTGAAACTCACAGTCTATGGGGGTATGGTGGCATGTCTTGGGTAAAATCCGAAACACAGGGATTCTGTAGTCCTGGGTTGGGTTATTTCGAGAGTATGGGATCTGTGTAAGAGAACAAAGTTTTCCAGCACTTGATCATGAGTCACAGTCCCAATCAAGCATCACTCGGACAAGCCTTCCTTTGTGTTGGGCTGATCAGGAGAACAGTGCTAAGCCTCTGAGAAGAGCCAGGGGTTTGAGGTTTGTCCTAGCATGCAGGGTCCTACCTGAGGGAGCACAGATGTGACTGTCGGGCTTCAGTTTTTATGTCCTCATTGAACAAAGGACTTATGACTGGGAATATCAAGTGTGGATCTCCCAGACAAAATCCTCCTTTGAGTTTTTCAAAGAAGTAAATATTGAAAACATTTTATCAGCTTTCAGAATTGATAAAAGCAAGGAACGCAAAGTTCTATTAATTGAAATAAAGTCCTACTATTCTTGGATAAAGAATGTTTCCATTGTAAGAGAAGAGTGAGAGATAAGTCCCAACCCCTCATTCTTTCATTTTTGTTCTAGCATCAGGGCAGAGCCAAGAGGAGGAGGAAAGGTGGGAATCTGAAAGGTAAGGTTCTGCCTATTCCACTTGAGCTCTCCAAGGGTGACCCTTCCTGTCCTTTTCATGATGGCTCAGGTCCATGATCTCTGAGGAGGTCAGCTGCTAGATACCGTCCCTCTTAGAAAACAGAGGCCTCAGAGGAGAGGCTTATGGAAAGGCAATCAGAGCACAAAAGCCTTCTCAGATTCCCTGCTCTGCATGAAGCACTGATGGATCTGGACAATGGGTGTTGCCCAATAGGTGGCTGTGTGAGACGTCAATAGTCAGAACTTCTGTCTCCTGACTTTGTGAAAGACCTACGACATTATGGATACTCAGCTTCCTCTTTGAGGTATCCATTGCCCTATGTTCTTCATAGGGTGGTTTTCAGTATCACATGGGATAGATAATACATACAAAAGCCCATTGTGAATGATAAAAATACAAGTCTTACTTTCATCGATCATGTGACCTTATATCCTAATTCTTGGAGTTCTCCAAGTCCAATCTACCAAGGGTATCACTTAAAGGACACTCTACTCAGCCTCTTATAAGATCTCTTGCTTCTATCTTCATCATTCTCCTGGTTTCCCAGGTGGGAGAACTTGCCAGAGTGAAGTAAAGGAGGCAAGAAAGGTGCTTTCTCTTCTGCAAAGGTGACTAAACATTACCTTCTTTCTTGTACCCCCCCCCCCTTTTAAGCAGAGTCTATGAATTTCTAGGGCCTCAGGGAAGCCCGGGATTGACATGGGATGGAAATTCCTCAGAGTTAGAATGTGAAAGTCTTGGGGATGTTGGTGGTGGTTGGGGGTGGGGGGCGCGCTACCTTTGCCAGATCTGCCAGGGTCACATATATTTGTTCTGGTCCTGGCTGCAGCTTTGTACCTCCTGTCTCCTCAGCCCCCTAGGCCGGCATCATGATACCATCCACTTTCGTCAACTGTTATGTCCAGATCCCTCCTGTGAGGTGTGTAATAGCACAACGGCTGAGGTCAATCGGCTGCTGTTCCCAGAGGCCCTGGAAGATGCTACTCCCTCTGTGATCCCCTTGGTTTCCACGGCTCCTGTGACTGACTCATCATTCACTTCATCCCCTGACTTCTCAGCAGTCCGTCCAGGAGACCTAATACCAGTGCCTTTGCCTGAGCCTTCCCCACCCCCCCCCCCCACTATCTTCTCACCTAACCCAATGACCTCTTTAGCTGACTTTTTCTTACCCTCACCCCCCAGGCACTCCCTGCCCCTGCAGCCAAAACCTTGGGATTCTGAATTCCCAGTGACCCATTCCATACCCCAGCCCCTTGCCTTTCCCCCTCTCCTACTACATGACATTCAGAAAGGGGATCCTGTTGTCCAACTAGAGGCCACTTTACCTCTGAATACCATCTCCGCTCTTGACCGCACCGTTTCACAAGGTATCAACCTCTTACCAAATCTGTCCCAGGCAAGGAATCCCACTGATTCATTTGCTTGTCATCATGCACCACCAACCCTGTCTGTTTCACCACCGCCACACTGCACTTTAACTGTGACTCAATCTAAATCGATTTCCATCTCAATGAAGCCTGATCCCGAGAAGTCATCTCCAGATAGCCCTGCTGGGTTGTCCACTTATGTCCCAACAATTAGAGGTAGTGACTGCTCAAGCCTGTCAATTTCAGAATTCTCCTGTTGGCAGGCTCAGGCCAAGAACATGTGCCTCCCCACGTCAGCACACTCCAGTTTTCAGCAAGAGCAAATTTACCTCCATCTACCGGAAACCTATCTCTGGAGAGACTCTGCTACTAAGCACAAGGAGGTCAGTGCAATTTCTTTCCCTGGCCTTAACTTCCAGGCACTCTTGGAGAGAGAAATGAAGAATAGAATGGCCTTCCAGATTTTAAAGAGACAAGTAAAAGAGGAGGGGCCATTTTCTAAACAAATGTGGTCAGAATACCAATGGACATCTGAAGGGAATTTGCTGCAGCCATCTGATGTACAGGTCACCACAGCCCCCCAAACTGGCTGGAATATTGAAGGCAAACCAGGGTGGCTGCGTATCTATCAGCAGCTCCTCAATGTCAAGTCTTTGGGGGAAAACTTGCATCAGAAATATAGCCAGTTCTTCTGGGGTCTTCCTTCTTTGCACAGTGAGTCCTTAGTAGCCACTCTCCTGTTTTCTAGTAGTACTTCCCCACTAGAGTCTCACTTTCTCTTATTCAATGGAATTCATAATACGTCTGCAGTCAAAATGCAGGATCTCGTATCTCCACCACTTTCTCATTCCCATCCCCTTCCTCTCCCCAGTGTACATCTCCAACCCCTGCCTCAAACCCTGTCCCAATCCCAGCCCCTAACTTTCACTCGGGTGAACACCCAGGCCCATTTTCAATCCCGCCTCCGAATCATACCATCTTCTTCTTCATCCCAGGTTAGGGACTGTGGAGTGTCTTTCCATAGATCCAAGAATGAGTCAGACTCTCATATCTTGACTGAACAACAACACCTGGAATGGCACGTGTTGCAGAAGCAACAGGAAAGCTTGTGGGGTTTAGTCCCTGTGTTCCAGAAATCTCAAGAAACCATTTGTCCTCGAGCTCCCAACCTTCCATTGGTTAGCCGGTCATCCCATGCCCATGTACCAGTCAGTCCCCATCCTTCCCGGCCATTTTCATATCACCTGTGAACCCCAGGAGACATTGCAGTTACATAGTCCAAGGAAGGTAATCCCATGCTGGTGCCTCCATGACTGTACAAACCTAGAGTCCCTAGCACTGATGGAGCCTCAGTGTAAATTAACAGAAATCTCTCAGCAAAAAAGCAGACATGTTCACTCACAATTCTATGAGCTTCAGGGCCATAGTAGCAAAGATCTAGCAAAGACTGAACTGAATCTCCCAGGAAGAGTCCATGAGAGGGTCCCAACAAATTCCAGCTAAGGAAGGATATGAGGAGGAATCTTGGGTATATCCTAGAGAAGAGCCCACAAAGGGTCTCAGAATGCTACTTAGTGAAGGGTCGCAGGGCTGCCTTGGAGACAAGTAACTGTGTGTCATTCAAGGAATCACTCAGGGAATGAATTATTAAATGTCTCAAGGAAGGAGACAGACCAGAATCAAATCAAAAGCACTCTTAGATTACATATGAGCAAGAAGTTTTGGCAGATCACAGCAGATAGGATTCCTATAGGTGTGTGTTGTTCATGGCTGGCTGATGACAATACCTTGTCTTTCTCTGGGAGTTCCCAGACTACCTCAAAAAACACAAATTCAAAAAAGACTATGGTGGGTAGGGTTTACTGCCACGTCACCACTCTAGAACTTTCTTTTCTTGATCCCAAAACGCGACAGGTGTTAGAGGCACATATTATGAGATTTCGCATGAGTCAGAGGTGGGGTCTACCCCTCAGGGTTCTTGAATCCATAAAATTCCATATGTGGAGAGAAGCCAAAACATGGCCTCTTCCCCAAGTTGACTTTCCCTCCTCAGCCATGCATATTTCTGGGGTGGATTCCAAAGCTGAGTTTTTTAAACCCTTTGAGGGAAGCTCCAAAGCTTTTTTGGGAAACAGGGTGAGAACAGCAAATTCAGTCCCCACCCTGGATCATCCTCTCCCTACTATGTTATCTGTGGGCAATGAAGGACAGGGGGTCCTGAAGTCATCACACTCTCACACTGAACACAAGCCTGCAGAGTGTATCCAGATAGCTGAGTGCGGCAGCCAGACTTTTCAGCCCCTGACACACAGCATCGGAGCTCAAGTCAGACCCAGTGAGACTGTAACAAAAAACACATGTGGCCCAGAGGTGCCCACAAGGCAAGCTGCGGCTGGACATGAGCCAAGGCATGAGAATGTGGGTTCCAGCAACAGAGTAGAAACGGTACAGGGCAAAGTGATGGTGGAGAAGAATTTAGAACATTCTGCCATGTCCAACCTGTCCACGGATATATTCGACACCGAGGAGCTCTGGACTCTTCAATCCCAATCTTGTGACACCTTGACAACCAGTGAGTTGGGAAGCTCCAAAATGATAAATGTCAGTATGAGTAAGGTAGAAACTGGCCTGACCACTGAACATCCCTCGCCAAAAATACTGGTTCCCCAAGATTCTAAGCTATCAGAGCTGAAAAGACAGCTTCTGAGTGAGTTAAAGTTTAAATTGGAGAGTGAGGAGCATAACCAGGCTCAAAGATGTCCCACTGACATGCCCCTTACTTCAGATAGCTTGACTTCCAAGGCTTCCCTGACTCCGTCCCAGAGTGTCTGCAGTGGGGACATGGACGCGTCCCAGGTGCTGCATGTTCAATTGGAGGACAGCAGAATTAGCACGGGGCAGCAGCAGGAGTCCTGGGACTCTAAGCTGGCCTTCTGTAAGTGCCGGGCTAAGAATTTCCCACAAAGAGAAAGTGAAAGGAAAGTGAGACCTCAGGATTCCCAAGCAAGAAAGTGTGGAAGTGAGGACTCAGGAGTAGGGACATCTGTAGGCAGAAAGGAGAGCTACCGTGTTGAGGACAGAAAATTAGAGAGGGCTTCCCCATCTCTGTCACAGAATGAACAGTTTCCTCCTGAAAGTTACTTCAGAAAAAAGATGAGGCACTTTTTTCAGTGGATCAATTCCAAGAAAAAAATCACAGGGCAGCAGGAAAGTCCCCAGCAAAAAGGCAAGTTCATGTCAACCTTAGTGCAGCACCAAGACCCCGTTCAAAGTGTGACTACTTTTGTGAGTGATGGGCCTCCTGAAGCTCACAAGCTCATGACTACCACTGGGAAGGTCCTAGAAGAGAAGCTGGCATGTAGGTATGGACCTGAGGCCTCAGCATTAAGCCAGCAGCAGGAGGAACTACAGGCCCAGGTAGGGCCTGACAAGAGATATTCCTCCAACTGTTGGGCTCTCTCTGACCCACAACAAAAGAAACGGGCAAGTATCAAGTCCTGCAGCCATGAAGCCGTCTGTGCTGGCCAGAACCGTCTTAGAAGTGTCAGACAGAACAGACACAGGGTCAGACATCCCCGAAAAGTTGTGGCCTTCAAGGACCAGGTATTAAGCCAGAGTCAACCCCCTTCTTCTCTGCCCTCCGGGGAACCTGTGCCTCATCCAAGCCTCACCTGTGTGCATCAAGTATGCCAGGTCCTTTCGGCCACCAGGGGTGACCCTGGTGAAAGTACTGTGTTTAGTGATTTGACTCTTCTACTCAAGCAGAAAATGCTTCTCCAGCACTTCCACAGAGAAAAATTTCCCTAAAGAAATCATTCTGTCCTTGTTAAGAAAGCCTCACAGTTTTCATGACAATATATCCTCTGATGAGAACAACCTTCAGCACAACAAAGAATATCAATCCTCCTCAATAAATGTTTCTTCTAATAGAGAGTGCTGTTCTCTGTGTGCTGCACTGGGCCTGGGGCTGGGGCTTGTGCTTAGGGAAAGGAGGAACTGTGTTCAGCTCTTACTGGTTTCCTCTTTGGCTTCTGTAAGTGCACCAGTCCCTTGTAAGAAGCCAGACAGTGGCCTTCTCAGTTTTATCTTGGGGTCCTTTATTTGACCCTGCTCAGATGTCCTGTATTAAAACATTTACTTTTTTTTTTTTTTTCATAAAAAGTACAGAAAGCTTACTCTGAAAACCTTCGGGCCTTTACAAAGTGAGAAAAACCATTAAAATCTAGAACTTGGCTCAAACTCTCTTTTCATCTGCTCCCAAACTATCCGTTGGGTGGGATGAGTTACTATGTCTCCTAGGCCTCACCTCCTGGAGGCTACTCAGGGCTTATTAGAACCCAATGATACCATTTCAGCATAAGAGTATACGGGATAGTCTTTGAGCATGAAGACAGTACCTCCAGGGATGTTGCCAGGGACGTTGTCCTCCTATATGGTGCCTGCCTTCCCAAACATGCAACATTTTACACCAAGGTTACGGTAATTTAGGAGTGCATTAATGATCTATTGCTGTGTAATGGATCCTACAAAATTTAGTGGCTTAAAAAATACATACTTATTATCTCACAGTTTTTGTGGGTCAGAAATTCAGGCGAGGCCTACCTGGATTTTCTGCTTCAAGGCCGCAGTTAAGCTGTCAGCTGAGGCTACGTTCTCTTCTGAAGGCTTGACTGGGGCAGGACCAACTCCTGTACTCATTCACACAGTTGTTGGCAGGATGCAGTTCCTCAAAGCCTGTTGGACTGGGATCCTCAGAACCTTGCTGGCTATTCGTTAGAGCTGGCTGGTTCCCTGTCATGTGGGCTTCTCCAACATGGCAGCTTACTTCATCAAAGCAAGGAGAGAGTTTGCAAACAAGACAGAAGTTACAATCTTTTGTAAACTAATAACGGAAATGACATCCCATTACCTTTCCTTTATTCTATTAGTCAGAGGCAAATCACTAAGTCGTGCCTATGCTCAAGGGTTGAATATCGGTAAGTGGGGATCATTGGAATCTTCTTAGAAGTCTTCCTAATGCACAATAAAAAAATTAAAAAAAAAAAAAAAAAGAAGAAGTCTTCCTATGCAAGGGTTTCTTCTTGGACACCCTACTCAGTTTGCTGAAGCAAAAGTGGCCAAAGGTGCCAAGTGGATCTTTGTCCTCATTCATATGCAAGTCATCAAGGTCAAAACTGTTTAATGGCTAAATGGAGCGGCGGCTGGTAAGTAAACATCAAAGAGATTGGAGCATTCAAAGAAGGAAGGAAAGGTGGTATAGAGAGGTAAAGGTAATACGGGTTTTTTCCTGAATGGTAAAGTAAAATGAGCCCTCAGGACCACCTGACTTCCCAGTAGTCGGACTTAGAGGGGAGGAAAAAGTAGGTGTAACATGTCTCATCCCAGCTCTACCACAGTCTCTCCACTTTGCCCTAGCTCCCAGACCATAGGTCTAAAGAAGTAACCTTCAGCTTTTGTAGACCTAGTCAAGCTTATAGAGGAAGCAAACCCTTCAGGTTGCAAGGTTTAATTTCTGTTCTTATTAATTAATATCTTTAATATAGTACATCCGTCATTTCAAATTTAACTCTCACAGCTTGAACATCAGAGAGAATTGGTCACCCAGTTGATGGAAAAGCCAGTACTAGGGATCTTCCAGCATGTAACTCCCATTTTGAGGTATTTTTCACGTACCTATGGCTTGAGCACTTCTAACTAAGGGAGATGTGAAGGCTGAAAGGGGTTGAGTTAATAAGCTGGGGTCACATAACAAGTCATATCTAATGTCTACTGCTTCCCTTCAGAGAAATATTGAATGAGGCAATGAGACAGAATTTGGACACTTAGAACATCTAGGAAGCGATCTGTCCAAATGACTTGGTAACACCATCTATGAGTGATCTCATACTTCTTTTCTGCTTCTAGGATTGTTTTCCTTTCTTTCAGATTCCTGTTCCTATGGGAAAGCATCACGATCCTAAAAAACTAACAAAGTGTATTAGCTGAAAAATGATTGGAGAGATGAAGATCAATTTCTCTAGAAAAAGATGTGCTTTGTGCCCACAGTCAGGGATCACAGTGTTATGAAATTTTAGGAGAGTGCCATTTACGTGATATAGTGTGCTGCCGGAAGAACTGTCTCTGATATATAATGCAATGGGAATGGGTTACCTGAATTTTTACAACCTCAAGCTTAAACTCTAAACCTAACGTCAGGGTTGACAAAATGCATGAATTGATTGGTACCTTAATGTGGATTGGGCATAGGGACCCCAGTTCCCAGCTTCAGGCATTGTGAATTTCTCTGGTGCCAGGTGGTGCCTAAGGCGATCAGAGTCCTTGAGGCAGCCATCAGAAGGACTAACACAGAACTGTGCCCCAATCGGTGGTTGCAGTGAAAGGGCCCAGGCTATGAGAAGGGGCTCTTCTCTTGAGCTTTTTCCCCTAGAACTTCCATTGGTCCTGGATCAGAGCCTAAACTAGGCTATTTTCCTGGGGTCACAAAGGCACATTTGGTCTTCATTAGGAAGGCCAAGTGGCAGGTTCAGAGACTTGTAGAGGCTGCCTCCTTATTTCTCCCAGGAGACTCAAGATCTGTTCCTTCCTTCATTGGTGGGAGTGGGGAAGCAGGGAAAGAACTGATTCATATGTAAGTGTAGCAGTGCTTCCCTGTGGGGAGGAGGTTGGGCTGGCAATGACAAGAGTGGGTAATTTTCCTCTGTAGGGATTCTCTCCCAGCTTAAGGCAGCCTTCATTTGAGGCAGGATATTTTACCAAGCTATTGATTGCTGCTTCTATTCCCTGCCAGAGGGGACTCCAGAAGGAACAAAAGTTCACTTCCCTTTTTGTCTTACAGGAAGTTCTGAGCTTCTGGTCTCAGGGGTTATTAATGGTTTTCATGTTTCCTGACCCCCAAAGAGAAGTTGTGAGGCACCTGTTGCATAGTCCTGTCCAGACTCCTACGGGTGAGGAAAATTTTCACCAGGTGTTCTCAGGAGAGAGGAGATAGGGGTTGATGTAGGTGCTGGGTTGAAAGGAGAGTTGCCTGAAGGTACCAGTGGCTCCAGCGACTTGATACTAAGGGTGTAAGGTGAGTTCCTGAGTGGATGGGTTCTGTGTGGAAGTCCTCTAGGAGACAGCACTATTTTTCTGAGGGATGAAATGATGTTTGCTGAGATGAATGATCATCAAGCCGCACTACCTTGGGAGCTGCACCGAAATACTGCATTGCCACACTGGCCAAAGTGGCTATACAACCACTGGCCTGTTAATGGGCCAACGGAGGAGCTTGGGCAACGAACATCCCAGTGGCCACCATGATGGACTCAGGAGCAGAGTCTCTTTCTTACATATTTGCCTGATATTGTATATTTGCCTGAGAGCAAAAGCCTCTCCCCCCCACCCCCCATCCCCGTTGCCAGGGATGACTAATATTGGATACCTTCCTTCAACATGGGGGCTCTGATCCAGCTTTAATTTAATTTAGAAAAATTAAGTACTGCTTGTTGTATTTCAATTTTGTAAAGCATGCTTTCATGTATATTATCCCATTTAATATTTACAATCCTTCAAGGTAGATTTATTTATTTTTTATTTTTTAAAATTCAATTAAAATATAATGTATTATTGGTTTCAGACGTAGAGTTCAGTGATTCATCAGTCTTATATAATACCCAGTGCTCATTACATCCCAAGGCCTCCTTAATGTCCATCACCTAGTTACCCCATCCTTCCACCTCTCTCCCCTCCAGTCACCTTCAGTTTGTTTCCTATGATTAAGAGTCCCTTATGGTTTGTCTCCCTCTCTGATTTTGTCTTGTTTTATTTTTTTCCTCTCTTCCCATATATCCTGTTTCGTTTCTAAAATTCCACATATGAGTGCAATCGTATGATAATTGTTTTTCTCTGATTGACCTATTTCACTTAGCATAATAACCTCTAGTTCGATCCACGTCATTGCAAATGGAGGCAAGATTTCATTTTTTTGATAGCTGAGTAATGTTTCATTTTATATCTATATATTATATATCTATATATCTATATATCTGTATCTCACATTTTCTTTATCCATTCATCTGCCGATGGACATCTGGGCTCTTTCCATAGTTTGGCTATTGTGGACATTGCTGCTATAAACATTGGGGTGCCAGTGCCCTTTGGATCACTACATTTGTATCTTTGGGGTAATACCCTGTAGTGCAATTGCTGGGTTGAAGGGAAGTTCTATTTTCAACCTTTCTAGGAGTGTCCATACTGTTTTCCAGAGTGGCTGTACCAGCTTGCATTCCCATCAACAGTGTTTTCCACTTCGTCACCAACATATGTTGTTCCCCACCTTGTTAATTTTAGCCATTCTAACTGGTGTGAGGTGGTATCTCATTGAGGTTTTGATTTGTATTTCCCTGATGCCCAGTGATGTTGAGCATTTTTTCATGTGTCTATTGGCCATTTGTACGTCTTCTTTGGAGAAATGTCTGTTCATGTCTTCTGCCCATTTTTTGATTGGATCATTTGTTCTTTGGGTGTTGAGTTTGATAAGTTCTTTATAGATTTTGGATACTAACCCTTTATCTGTCAATTGCAAATATCTTCTCCCATTCTGTCGGTTGTCTTTTGGTTTTGTCAACTGTTTCCTTTGCTGTGCAAATGCTTTTTATCTTGATGAAGTCCTAATAGTTCAGTTCATTTTTGCCTTTGTTTCCCTAGCCTTTGGAGACGTGCCTAGCAAGAAGTTGCCACGGCCAAGGTCACAGAGGTTGCTGGCTGTGTTCTCCTCTAGGATTTTGATGGATTCCTGTCTCACATTTACGTCTTTCATCCATTTGGAGTCTATTTTTGTGTACGGTGTAAGGAAATGGTCCAGTTCCATTCTTTTGCATGTGGCTGTCCAATTTTTCCAACACCATTTGAAGAGACTGTCGTTTTTCCATTGGATATTCTTTCCTGCTTTATCAAAGATTAGTTGACGATAGAGTTGAGGGTCCATTTTTGGGTTCTCTATTCTGTTCCATTGATCTATGTGTCTGTTTTTGTGCCAGTACTATACTGTCTTGACAGTGTAACAGCTTTGCAATAGAGCTTGAAATCTGGAATTGGCTATTCGGCGTCTTTTCTGGTTCCGTACAAATTTTAGGATTATTTGTTCCAGCTCTGTGAAAAAAGTTGATGGTGTTTTGATAGGGATTGCCTTGAATGTATCGATTGCTCTAGGTAGCATGGACATGTTAACAATATTTGTTCTTCCAAACCTTGAGCATGGAATATTTTTCCATTTCTTTGTGTCTTCCTCAATTTCTTTCATGAGTTTTCTGAGTACAGACCCTTTGCCTCTTTGGTTAGGTTTATTCCTAGGTATCTTATGGCTTTGGGTGCACTTGTAAATGGGATTGATTCCTTACCTTATCTTTCTTCTGCCTCATTGTTAGTGTATAGAAATGCAACTGATTTCTGTGCATTGGTTTTATATCCTGCCACTGTGCTGACTTCCTGTATGAGGTCTAGCAATTTTGGGGTGGAATTTTTGGGTTTTCCATATACAGTATCATGTCATCTTCAAAGTGTGAGAGTTTGACTTCTGCTTTGCACATTCGGACGTCTTTTATTTCTTTTTGTTGTCTGATTGCTGTGGCTAGGACTTCTAGTCCTGTGTTGAACAGCAGTGGTGAGAGTGGACATCCCTGCTGTGTTCCTGACCTTAGGAGAAAAGCTCTCAGTTTTTCTTCATTGAGAATTATATTCACTGTGGGCTTTTCGTATATGCTTTTATGATATTGAGGTGTGTTCCCTCTATTCCTACCCTGTGAAGAGTTTTAATCAAAAAAGGAAGCTGTAGTTGTCAAATGCTATTTCTGCCATTTATTGAGAGGATCACATGCTTCTTGTCCTTTCTTTTATTTATGTAGTGTATCACACTGATTGGCGTGTGGATGTTGAACTACCCTTGCAGCCCAGGATTAAATCCCACTTGGTCACAGTGAAAATAATCCTTTTAATGTTCTGTTGGATCCTGTTGTCTAGTATTTTGGTGAGAATTTTTACATCCATGTTCATCAGGGATTTGGTCTGTAATTCTCCTTTTTGGTGGGTTCTTTGCCTGGTTTGGGGATAAAGGTAATGCTGGCCTCATAGAAAGAGCTTGAAGTTTTCCTTGCATTTTTATTTTTTGAAACAGCTTCAGAAGAATAGGTATTAATTCTTTGTTTGGTAGCGTTCCCCTGGGAAGCCTCTGGCCCTGGGCTCTTGTTTGTTGGTAGATTTTTTATTACTGCCTCAATTTCCTTGCTGGTTAGGGATGTGCTCAGGTTTTCTATTTCTTTCTGTCTCAGTTTGGTAGTTTATATGCCTCTACAAAGGCATCCATTTCTTCCAGACTGCCTAATTTGTTGGCATATATTTGCTCATAATTTGCTCTTAAAATTGGTTGTATTTCTTTGGTGTTGGTTGTGATCACTCCTCTTTCAGTCATGGTTTTATTTTTTTGGGTCCTTTCTCTTTTCTTTTTGATATGTCTGGCTGGGGGTTTATCAATCTTATTCTTTCAAAGAACCAGCTCCTAGTTTGGTTGATCTGTTCTACTGTTCTTTTGGTTTCTATTTCATTGATTTCTGCTCTAATCTTTATTATTTCTCTTCTCCTGCTGGGTTTAGCCTTATTTGCTTTTCTTTCTCCAGCTCCTTTAGGTGGAGCTGGAGGTTAGTTTGAGATTTTGAGGCCTTTCTTGTTTCTTGAGAAAGGCTTATATTGCTATATATTTCCCTCTTAGGACTGCTTTTGCTGCATCCCAAAGGTTTTGAAAAGTTGTGTTTTCATTTTCATTTGTTTCCATGAATTTTTTTTTAGTTCTTCTTTAATTTCATGGTTGACCCATTCATTCTTTAGTAGGATGCTCTTTAGCCTCCGTGTATTTGAGTTATTTCCAAATTTCCTCTTGGGATTGAATTCCAGTTTCAAAGCATTGTGGTCCAAAAATATGTAGGGAGTGACCCCAATCTTTTGGTACCATTTGAGACCTGATTTTGTGGCCCAGTATGTGATTTATTTTGGAGGATGTCCCATGTGCACTCAAGAGGAATGTATATTCTGTTGCTTTAGGATGGAATGTTCTGAATATATCTGTGAAGTTCATCTGGTCCAGTGTGTCATTCAAAGCCCTTGTTTCCTTGTTGATCTTCTGCTTAGATGATCTGTCCATTGCAGTCAGTGATGGTTGAAGTCCCCTACTATTAATGTATTATTATCACTGTGTTTCTTTAATTTTGTTATTAATTGGCCCATATAATTGGCTGCTCCCATGTTAGGGGCATAAACATTTACAATTGTTATATATTCTTGTTCGACAGACCTTTTAAATATGATAGAGTGTCCTTCTTCATCTCTTATTATAGTCTTTGGTTTAAAAGTTACTTTGTCTGATATAAGGACTGCCACCCCAGCTTTCTTTTGATGTTCATTAGCATGATAAATGCTTTTCCACCCCCTCACTTTATTTTTATTTTTAAATAAAGATTTGTTTTAATTATTTGCCAGACAGAGAGAGCGTGCAAGCACAAGCAGGGAAAGCTGCAGGCAGAGGGAGAAGCAGGCTCCCCACTGAGCAAGGAGCCTGATCCCAGGACCCTGGGATCATGACCTGAGCCGAAGGCAGATGCTTACCTGACTGAGCCACCCAGCTGTCCCTCCACGCCCTCACTTTAAGTCTGGAGGTTTCCTTGGGTCTAAAATGAGTCTTTTGCAGACAGCATATTGATGTGTCTTGCTTTTTTAGTCAGTTCAACCCTGTGTCTTTTGATTGTAGCCTTTAGCCCATTTACATTCAGAATAACTATTGAAAGATATGAATTTAGTGCCATCATATCACCTGTAAAGTCACTGTTTCTGTATATTGTCTCTGTTTCTTTCTGGTCTGTGTTACTTTTGGGCTCTCTCTTGGCTTAAAGGATCTCTTTTAATATTTCTTGTAGGGTTG